CACTGTTGGTGGGGACTGTAAACTAGTTTCATTGTAAGTGGAGAGACGAGGTGTGGCGAATTCTCAAGGATCTAGAATTAGAAATACCAGTTTGGCCAGCCATCCCGATTACTGGGTATATACCCAAAGGATTATAAATCATGCTGGCTGTAAAGAACACATGCACACATATGGTTTATTGCGGCACCATTCACAGATAGCAAAGACTTGGAACCAACCTAAATGGTCCATCAATGACAGACTGGATTAAGAAAATGTGGCACATTATACACCCATGGAGATACTATGCAGTCATAAAAAAGGATGAGTTCATGGTCTCCTTTGTAGGCGACATGGATGCAGCTGGAAACCATCATTCTCAGCAAACTATCACAAGAAGGAGAAAACCAAACACTGCATGTTCACACCACATAGGTGGGAATTGAACAAGATGAGATCACTTTGACACAGGAAGGGGAACATCACACACTGGGGCCTGTTGTTTGGAGGGGGGAGAGGAGGGGATAGCATTAGGAGAAATACCTAATGTAAATGACGAGTTAATGGTGCAAGCACACCAATATGGCACATGTATATATATGTAACAAACCTGCATGTTGTGCACATGTACCCTACGACAGTACAGATGGGGTTTTGCTGTGGATGTCCTTTCTGTTTGTTAGTTTTCCTTCTAACAGTCAGGACCCTCAGTTGCAGGTCTGTTGGAGTTTGCTCAAGGTCCACTCCAGACCCTGTTTGCCTGAGTATCAGCAGCAGAGGCTCAGTTGGAAATGCAGAAATCACCCATCTTCTGTGTTGCTCACGTTGGGAGCTGGAGGCTGGAGCTGTTCTTATTTGGCCATCTTGGTGCCCCCTATAAATATGATTTTTAATATTGGCATGGCAAAATTCATTTTATGAAAGTAGCGCTATTCATTCATTTATTCAAAATATTCACTGAGTTCCTACAATGTGCCAGGCCCTGTCACAGGGGCTGGGGTGGCATCAGCATGTCAGCCCAAGCCTTCCCTCAGGTGCTCAAGTCTAGTGGAAGTGACTAAACATAGACAAGTATATGCGCCAGGCATCTCACTTCAGAGGAGTGGCCAAGGAAGGTGTCACTGAGGAGGCCTTCAAGTGGAGATCAGGATGGAGCATGGAAATGAGCCAGGTGAATATCTAGCGGAAAGGCGTTCGAGGTAGAGAAACAGCAGGACTGGAGGCCCTGCAGTGGCTCCCTTGGTGTAGTTAAGGGAGATCAAGGGAGCCACTCTGCCCTGAGAGTGGGGAGAGTAGGGAAGAGGGCTGAGGAAAAAGGCTGGAGGGCAGCAGAGGCAAGCTTACGGGGCCTCCATGACCACAGTAAGGAGCTCGCATTCTGGTTGATTATTCCCGTGTTGTCGTTAATCATTGTGAGTGTTGCATCCTTTCCCCTCCCTCCCTCCATTCCTCCTTCCTTTTCTCACTCATATATAACACACAGTGCTGGGCATCCAGCACTATATACTTATATAGACAAGTATATAAGCCCTTGTCTATGTCTTGAATCATTCACTTAGGAGAAATTCCTTGAAGGAAAGCCAGACAGCCTACCTTTAGCCTTTGCTCCGCCATTTCTGAGCTGGGTGACCCGAGACAGGTTGCTTCACCTTTCTGTGCCTTAGTTTTCTCATATATAAAATGAGATAATAATAGCACCTAGCTCACAGGACTATTGTAAGGATTAAATGCATCACTACATATAAAGCCCTTAGAACAGTGCCTGGCACAAAGTCAACACTATATTCATTTGAATAAAAAATAAAGTTTTTTTCTTTATTTTGCCGAAGTATTTCCTAAGGTTTGTATCAATTGTGTTTTATTGAGAGTGAAAAATGTAAATATTACAGAAAAGGGCAATATGTCGTGTGACTCCACCTATGTGAGACACATAGAATAGGCAAACTCAGAGACAGAAGTGGAATGGCAGTGACCAGGGCCTGGGGGAGGGGCAAATGGGGGGTTATGTAATGGGGATGATGAAAAAGTTCTGGTGACAGCTAGTGGTGATGGTTATACGACACTGTGTGTATACTTACTGCCACTGAATTGCACATTTAAAAATAGTTAAAATGGCAAAATTTATTTTGTATCTATCTTACCACCACCACAACAAAAAGTTAATGTAAAGGGATGTGGGTGTATTTTACCCCTCTCTGGCGCATATGTTCGCAGTTGATCTTGAGCAAGTCTGTTAGGAAATGAGCTCTAAGACGAGTTATGTTTGGTGGTTGCTACGTTCTCTGTTTTCTTTGGGGGGGCTTGTGGGCCTCTGTGGGGTGTTTTCTGGCCCTCTTCATCTCCAGCAGTAGCAGTCCATAACCCCTGCTCCAGGCCTTGGCATAGTTCTGAAAACTGTATGTTTCTGGAGAGGTGGCACCACAGACAAGGTCTGTAAGATTAGGGATAACATGGGCTTGGGCTCAGACTTTATCCTGCGACCTTCAGCAAGTCATTTTGCATGGCTAAGCCTTCCTTCCTCTTCAGTACAATATGATTCTGAGAGACAATCCCACTGCTTCTGAGCAGGTCAGGTGAGGGAGTATGTGCACATGTGTTTGGTAACCTGTCAAGTGCCATGCAAATGTGAGTTCTTTCTTTAATTCCAGACACTGCTGGCTGCCAGAGCACCAAGTATTTCTGAGAGTTCCACCAATTCAGCCAAGGAGGATGAGGAGGAGTCCTCCGATGAGGCTGATAAAAACTCTCCCCAAAATACTGCCCGGAGAGGCAAGCTCGGAGATGGGAAGGAGCATACAAAGGTGGAGGGACTTGTTCTTCTCCCCCCGGCCTTCCTCCCCCTGCCAATCCCTTCCTTAAGGGTGGTGCAGACTTGGAAGTCTGGGCTCTGACTATCACATGGGGGCGGGTTAACCTCATAGTCAGGGGGAGAAGCAAACCTGCAGGTCATAAAATGTCCTCTTCCCCTTCCAGAGCTCAGGGTTTGGCTGGTTCAGCTGGTTTCGATCGAAGCCCACCGAGAACGCATCTCCCTCTGGAGAGGAGGACTCCTCGGACAGCCCTGACTGTGAGGTAGGCTCTGTGGAAGGGAGAGGATGCCTCTCTCTGTGGGTCTTTCAGAGGGAGCTGCCTTAGCACCTAGGAGCTCTCAGAGCTGGCACCTGACTCCACCCCCGGCCACACGAGACAGAGGTTTTGTGACAGAAGATGGTGGGAAATGAATTGGTCCTGTGGGGGCAAGGCAGATTATAAAAGCTTTAAAAAGTTAGGATGAAGAAATGTAACTTTAGAGGGTCAGCAGGAGGGAGCTAGTGTGGATTACTGAGCAGAAGAGTGGGATGAGGAGAGGGGGTTTTGGGGAGTACCCAGCAGCAGTTTGTGGCAAGGCCGCCATCCTGAGTGTGGGAACGCAAGTGGGTGGGCGTGAATTTGTTAACCACCAATGTTGCCAATGCTGCGTTTCTTTCTCCACAAAGCGGGAGACCCCCAGAGCATCTTCTCCCCACCAGGCTGGCCTGGGCCTCTCACTGACACCTTCTCCTGAGTCCCCCCCTCTGCCAGCTCTTAGCGCCTTCTCCGTGGGCACAGGTACTGCCACCTCGCGTCCTCTGGGCCATGGGTGGTCCCCTCAGCGCTCCCAAGGGTGGGGGTGCCTTCTGGGAGTGGGGACCCCCAGTCCTGAGCAGAGGAAACAGTTCTGACTCATTGCTTTCCAGGTGGGGGTGAAGGCCAAGGATCCACATCCAGTGGGGGAGCAGCTGCGGGCGCTGGGGTTGGAGGCTTGTCTGGACCTGAGGTGAGCAGCCCCTGGGCTGGAGCCTCGGACCCCAGCAGATGCCTGTGTGTGAGGACTGAACCTTCAGTGTGGACAGTGCTGACTCCTGGGGAACATGAGGAATGCTTCTCTGCTGTGTTAGTTTGCTCAGGTCGTCATAGCAAAGTACCACAGAACGGAGGCTCAGACCACAGAAACCTAATTTCTCACAGTTCCGCAGGCTGAAAGCTGAGGTCCAGATTTCTTTTGAGGAAAAGATGACCTGGCTTGTGCCTGGCCATCTTCTTTCTACGTCTTCACACGGCCTTTCCTCTGAGCATGTCTGTGTTCAGATTTCCTCCTCTTATAGGGACATCAGTCATACTGGATTGGGCTGCCAATATGACCTCCATTTATGTTAATTGCCTCTTTAAAGAGCCCATCTCCAGATGTTGTATTTTCATGTTTCTCCAAACATATGTTTTCTGAGGTACTGGGGGCTAGGGCTTCAACATGTGATTTTTTTTTTTTCTGGGAACACATTTCAACCTATAACAGCTTCCTCAGGGGAAGCCTGGGGAATTGCCTTTTTACCTGTCCCAGGAAGAGGCAGAGTTCACTGGAGACCTTGTCCAGGGCTATGGTAAATTCTTGATGAGTTGTCCACATTAGTATGGATCTCATATCTATTGCTAGGAAAACGTTTTTATTTCTTTAAGCCTGGTTAGATAACGCTTGTATAATTTTAGGCCTTTTGAAGGTTATATTACTTTTTATGATGGTATCAATATAATTTATTGAGGCTTTTTCTTTTTGTCAGTATTGCCACTCCAGACCCACGGGTTGGATGTGTCCACTTGAACCATGTTGGCTTGCTTGAGATTCCCTGAGTTCTATTAAGAAATCCTTCTGATATGGTTCTCTTTTAAAACATTTCAGTAGCTTTTGGGGCCCAAGTGGTTTTTGGTTACCTAGAGGAATTATATAGTGGTGAATTCTGACATTTTATTGCACCCATCACCCAAGCAGTGTTGGCATGGATGTGGGTTGTACCTAATGTGTAGTTTTTTTAAATCCCTGACCCTCCTCCCCCTCTTCCCCTTCTGAGTCTCTGAAGTCCATTATGTCGCTCTGTATGTCTTCACGTACTCATAGCTCCCCACTTATAAGTGAGAACATATGGTTCCTGGTTTTCCACTCCTGTGTACTCCACTTAGAATAATGGCCTCTGGCTCCATCCAAGTTACTGCAAAAGACATTATTTTGTTCATTTTAATGACTGAGTGTATTCCATCGTATAGGTATACCACATTTTCTTTACATGCTCATTAGTCAATGGGTACTTAGGTTGGTTCCACATTTTGTAATTGTGAATTGTGCTCCTATAAACATACTTGTGCAAGCGTATTTTTCAAATAATGATTTCTTTTCTTTTGGGCCGATACCCAGTAGTGGGATTGCTAGATCAAATGGTAGTTCTACTTTTAGCTCTTTAAGGAATCTTCATACTGTTATTCACAGAGGTTGAACTAATTTACATTCCCACCAGCAGTGTAGAAGTGTAGAAGTGTTCCCTTTTCCCCACATCCGTGCCAACATCTATTATTTTTTGACATTTTAGTTATGGTCATTTTTGCAGGAGTAAGATGGTGTCTCATTGTGGCTTTAATTTGCATTTCCCTGAAGATTATTGATGTTGAACATTTTTTTCATTTGTTTATTGGCCATTTCTTCTTTTGAGAAATTTCTGTTTATGTCCTTTGGAGAGTCAATAAGGAACTCAAAGAAATCACCGAGAAAAAAACCAAACGATCCTGATGTGCTTCTTGAAAGCCTCAACATTCTGGAATCTGGGAGGCGGGCACTGATGGGATTTTCCATGCTTTTCTATCACAGAGTGTTTCCTTTGAGCTCTGCTCCAACCCTGGTGTTCTGCTTCCTCCACCTGCCTTAAAAGGGACTGTTCCTCTTTACAACCCATCTCAGGTCCCTCAGGTAAGGAAACCCTCAGGGGGAGGGGCTGGCCAGGAGCACAGGTTTTGGATTAAGGAGACCTAGGTTTATCATCCCAGTTTGCCATTTACAATATGTGAGTTCTTGAGCAATTGGAGAGTCTTGAGACTGTCCAAGTCTCAGTTTCTGCATCTGTAAAATGGGGTCAGTAGTAGCTAGCTCACAGATACGTATATGAAGGGCCTGGAACCCAGAAAATGGTCAATAAATGTAGTTACTCTTAATATCGTATTTAAATTTTAATAGCTCTTGAGATGTGGGAGACACAGTCGGTGTTGGCATCAGTAGTGTGGGTGCACTGTCAGTCTGTCCTGGGGATAAAGGGATCACTGGAAACTTTGAGAGAAGCTAAGTTCCCTGTTCCTCAGCAAACTGGGTAGACTTAGCTCTGCTAATGTCTCATTTGGCCTCCTCTCTTTATAAAATCCAATTTCTTTTCACCATAGTTGGGTGAAGGTGTTGGGTGGAGGTAGATAATTAGAACACAACCTTGGGAAATATTCTACACAGAAGCTCAGGGTGCCCTAGCTCCATCCATCCAATCAATCCCGGGCAGAGTCATGTTTGGGGCTGTACTCAGTGTAATATTTGTTCTTTTCCAGCTGCCCATGGCCACTAGCCTGAATCGGCCAAATCGCCTAGCTCAGCGTCGCTATCCCACTCAGCCATGCTGAGAATAAACACGCGTCCCAGGTTCATCGCCACAACTTTGCTTGCTCTCCTTTTCTCAATCTCCCAGTCCCTCTCTACCACACTGGGACCCTCAAGAGGTTTGTGTCAGCCCGATGTCTCCACCAGTCACTGAGAAGGCAAGAAGACAGGATCTCTCAAGACACAGCACAATTCAGTCTCTTAAGATTAGCTTCAGAATGCCGGAAATTATTTCATCAGGTGGAAGGTCTGGGTCTAACAGCAGACTGCACATGAACAGAGTGACATAGTGGTGGCACTTATGGTGGTGGCTTGAGAGCCTTGGGGAAATTAGGGCCCTAACAGCTAGAATCAAAGATGGGACCACAGAGCCCTGTAGCAGGAAATGGGAAGCGGGGGAGGGGCAGGAGCTCAGAACAATGTTCTAGACCAACTTGGACTTCTTCCTGTCTTAGTAATAGACCAATACATGGCTCTACTTAGCAAAGTTTTTATACTGAAACTTGATTATTACTGCCCTTTATAATTTCCTCTTCAATGATACTTCAGCAGTTTCCCTCTTGGTCCTAGTTTTGTGCACATTTTTTTTTTAATGTGGTTCAGATTAATTATATTTCTCTCACTTTCTTAGCTGGTCCTATTTTTTCACATTCTGGCATGTGGCTATCAAGTTAGATTGCTCTAGGCATCATATTGTCATGGTAACTACTGAACCTAATGATGCAGATGGATGGCACATCAGTATAATAAATGATGGAAAGCGGTTCCTAAAAATTCATCCCTTTCATAAGAGGGGAAGAATGAGTGCCTTATATTGTTAATACCTCCCTTTCTACCTCAGGCCTTTGCAAATTGATGTTCGGAGGGTCACTGGAGTGAGAGGGAGGAGGGGGGCGTCTTGGAAATTTCCATTTCTCTTTTCAAACCCAAAATAGGAATGACTCTTGCTGTTTGTCAGATTTGCTGAAAATTGCTCCTCACAAAGAACATTTTTTTGTACATGTAATTGTAAATACAGGTTTAGTACGTTAATGTTCTATAGTTCTGATGTTGATAATAATTAAACCCAGATAATTTTATAGCAAGTGCTTGTCTCTGGCTGATTTTTGCAGAGGAAGACAGTACGCTGGTGGTCTCTTCCCTGAAGTCTTTCTAATAATGATTTTATTGTGTGATCAAGTGTGAATAGCTGGAAAGAGCCCTTTGTTAATGAAGAATCTAGGGACAGATTCTCTTAACTTCTAAGTCTACTTTAATGTTATTCTTTTTCCAATTTAAAAAATATGAACAAAAAGCTCCTGTGATGCAAGTCAGTCACTTTACTAACTAAACTAAATGTTGTGTATTTTGTTCCATAAAAAGTTGTTTTAACCTCTTAGATTAAATTAGAAAATGTATGCATAAATGTTTCGCACCTGGAGGGCCCTCAGTAAAAGCTATTCCCCTTTTTTCCTTAAAAGGCTGCTGCTCCTTCAATTTGGTATGTTGACATCCAGTGGTGGTGCTGTGGCATTAGTGTGTGAGTTTCACAGGAGCCACACTGCCTAGTCTTGCATGCTGGCTCATCTGTAGCTCACCCTGTAACCTTGGGCAAGGTTACCTCACTGTCTTGTATTTCAGTTTTCTCATCTATAAAATTAAGATGATAATAATCATAGTACCTGCCTTATAGGGACATTGCAAAAATTAAATGAGTTAGGCCCTTAGAAATGGGCCTGGTATATGCTAAGTACGGTTGGCCCTTGAACAAACTGAGTTTGAACTGTGTGGGTCCACTTGTACTTGGATTTTATTCTGCCTCTGCCTGTCCAAGACAGTAAGACCAACCCCTCTTCTTCCTCCTCCTCAGCCTACTGAATGTGAAGACTATGAGGATGAAGACCTTTATGATGATCCACTTTCACTCAATGGAGAGCCCATATATTTTCTCTTTCTTATGATTTTCTTAATCATGTGTTTTTCTCTGGCTTACTTGAAGAATACAGTATATAATACATATAACACATACAATATGTGTTAATACACTGTTTATGTTATCAGTAAGGCTTCCAGTCAACAGCGGGCTATCAGTAGTTGAGTTTTTGGGGAGTCAAAAATCATATGTGGATTTTTGACTTTGCAGGGCTCAGTGCCCATCATGTCCACATTGTTCAAAGCTCAACTGGACTTTATTATGGTGTCTTTTATTATTAATTTGCAATCTAATAAGATCTTGACTGTTTTTGGGGGCCTACCAGATCTGACTATAGATTTTTTGTTCTTGATATCTGTATAGGACAGGGATGATGATTAAAACATACTTCTCAATATGTGTCATTGCCAAGTCAGTTTCTCTTCCTGCATCCCTTCTAACACCAACATTAGGCCATGAGGCTTTGTGCCCAAGGGCACAATGGTGTAGGGGAGGTCCTGTCCAAGAAATAAAGCACTTTAGGGAGGAGAGAGTGCAGACCAAAGAGAAAGGCGCAGACATCGGATGCCTATGTCCTCTTGTCCTCCTCCTGTTAAGAGAATTCATGGAATACCCGTGGCTACTGTTATGCTCAACAAAGTAAGCACTGAGTTTAGTTACCTCCCAGCCAAAGGAATACAGAGCAATGAATATACTTTGTGAAGAGGAAGAGTCAGGGTTTCTACGCACTAGAAAGGGAGGAGGTTCTTGGTGTTTATGGTAATTCATAATTTAAAGGTTTTACTCTGGCAAAGTCAGAATGTGTCTATTAATCTGTGTATGCTTGGTTAAAACAAGCCCAGTTGCTCATTGGTTAGGTTAGGTCCAGTAAGGGTCTGAGGAGCTGGGGTCACTCCCAGTTCTTAGTTGCTCATCTGTGCTGTTTGGGTAGTGGTGGTGGTATTGCTAAAGGTCATGGTTATTTTACTTCAACTGGTTGAAATCTGTTCTGGTGAAACAAGTGCAGCTGTCAGAAGAAAATACTGTTTTCTCCTTTTATAAGGTGGAGGCTTGGGAAATAGAGTAGGTTGTGACAGATATACACTGCTATGAAAGGGAGCACACTGGGCTAGTGGCCCTTTCCTCTAGCTCCCCTGGTAACCTTGGGAAGGGAGGCTGCAAGACTTGAGGAGAAGCCGGCTTTGGCTTGGCAACGTGTCCAATGTGTCTGGGGAGCCATAGCAGCTTGGCTTTGGGGATCTGAGGCAGAGCTCTGAGCTCCCTGAAGCCTGCTGTAGTGTAGACTAGCAGGGAATAATTGCATAATGACCCCAAAGGTCAGATGGGACAAGTAATCTCCCAAAAGGCAAAAGGTCAGGAGTGGGCTAGACAAATCACCAGCAATGAATAGGTCACACTGTGAAGGTCATAGCCCTCTTTTCCATCACCGTGAGCTGTTTGGGGAGAGAGAATGAACAGAATTCTCTTTCTCTCTCAAAAAATGAATGATCAAAAGACACGGTATGACAGGGAAGAGCCTAAGATATTATTAATTGGCAAGTTTGTTTTTTCACCTGCTTCTCAACAGAGTCCAAGCTTGGAGGAAGAATAGGTCAGTCATACAAAATGAACCATAGTTTCCTTGAAAAGCTGAGTAGTAGTGGGCAAATTTATGATTCTGCCATATACACATAATTTAGTATTTATAGGAAAACATTTAAATGTAATGTTCTATAATTTGAAAGTGAACAAACCACTAAATTCCATTTCAGGGTCTGTATCACATGTTACCATTCCAGCCCTCTGTCTAATCCCCTCATGTGGCTATAGAGCTGTAAATGAGCCGCGAGTCCTCAGTCACCTGTGTGTCCTCTCTGTTCAGCCTTCTCACAGGCTTCAGGTTGCTCAGGATCAAAGCCTCTGCTAGCTTTGTTTTACCCTAGAAAGTCTCTTTCTTTTTGGTATCTTCCTCTGAGTAACCAAGAAGAGGAGCAAGAGACTGCATCTACTTCTTCACTAAAATCAGAAGACTTTCTACCCAAGACGGAATGTGCAAAACCCTCTTTCTGCTTGAAAAGAATAATAGGTATGTAATTTGGGTCTCTCCAATCACGTGAGTTTCTCTCTCACTTTTTCCACCAGAGAGTGGAATGGAAGTGACTTTTCTCCTCTTCTATTTGCTGCCTTAAGCTGGAAATTGCATGAAGCATGATCTGCAAGCAACAGAATGTTAGGTACTTAACTGAGGTTGTCCCAAAATGTGGCCTCAACAACAGCCTGTTTTCATTTCATTAATTGGCCATACTTATACCAGGCATCATTCATTCAGGTCCTTTAGAAATGGTTTCTTAATGAGATTTAAAGTTATTCTGAACGAGGATTAACAGCATATGAAAATGTTTTCATTACAATCGTGCTAGGTAGAGAAATCTTCTTCCTATACTTTCTTCCTTTTTGTATATTCCTGTTTCCAGATAATCAGGGTCAACAGCAGTTTAGGTCAAACTCAAATGACCTTTGCCAACTGTTTGTTATTTTACTGTGAGATGTTTTCCTGGCCCTTACCTATCTTAGAGAGAGCCAGTTAACCTACCCAATTTTTAAAGAATTCTTAACAGAGTGGGATTCCATGGCTTCCTTTGAGGTTTCAGCCCATGGTTCCTCAAACATTAGGAAGCTATTTCTAATACTTTCTACTCCAATCACTCCTGTGACTCTTTAAGACTCTTAACTGGTCCTCAGCAGAGATGGAAAACAGCTGCTCACCACCACCTGTGCCTGGGAACTCGTTCACATTTTGGAAGGTCGAGTCATGCCTCAGCTTATGAAATGAAGTCTTACAAAATGGGGTTTTCTTCAGTAGAATTGGAGATTAAACCAGATAAATGCTAGGAGTCTTTTGGTAGCTCCAGTGTTCAGACATCCTGAATTTCAACAATAATAGTATAACATTTATTGAGTATTTTGTGTCAGACACTTGCATTCTATGTGTGTATACTTTCTATGCAGTATATAGTATTGTGATTTCAACATATATTAGGAACAAAAAAACTGAATAGAGAGGTAAGGTAACTTGTCCAAACATACACAGCTAGTAAGGATGGAGCTGGAATTAGAATCCAGGTAGTCTGATCTCAGAATCTGGGCTTTTAGCCACATTGTCCCTGGACATGTGGACATTCGTTCACTGATTTATCAAATATTAATTGAATAGCATGTCAGGCATTGCTGTTTTCCCAACAAAAATGGTTCTGACACTTAAAATACTTACAGTCTAGTGGGAGAGACAGACATGTAAACACAGAAATTTCTGCATAATGTGAGAGCTGTTCTAAATATATGTACAAATAACTTCGTAGCTTCAATCCCTTAATCATATATGAATTTCACATATTTATATAATTTTGAGGGAAATACGTAATATATTCAAATTATATCATCCCTGTAGGTTAAGATGAAGGTGAAGTTCACTGCTAGCTATGTAGAGTAGCATATCTGTTGGCCAAGTTTAAAGTGGCTTTAAGATGTGGTGGGTGCAGATGAAGTCTGGATGAACAAGGGTAATAGTGTACAGTGATCACAAATACCACCATGATCTATGAAAGGAGGATGATCTGATTTAGACTTGTCAAATTGCTACTGCAGAAATTCTTCCCGCTTCTCCATGCTGTTGGTTTGGAGGCAGGAAAGGACTGTGAATGTTGCAATGGAACACATTTGAAGGCAAGAGCCCTGGTGAGGAGTGTACATGGTTTCATGTGTGTGCACATGCGTGGGTGCCATCCATGAGGCTCCTTTCGGAATGTCTCTTTTCACCTAATCTCCACTCCTAGCCTCTTTCACTTCCCCTTCCTCGCAATTACTCTTTATTTCCAAGGGAGGATTACCCAGAAGACAGCCTCTCCGTAAAGCATCTTCCGAGTGGCTGATACTACGAAGACTCTGTGAAGTCCCACTTACCAGCACAGGATTGTGTCAATACATCCAGACTTTTGGCTAGCAAATTTTAGCTAATTTTATGTTTCCCCAAACTGGTGCTTAGAAATCCAAGACCTTGACTTTTAAAACGTGTCTCTGAGTTTTAAGGGCTCATTTTGGAATGTAAAAGATAATCACTCTTTTTCATTATTTTCATGTTCTACGATCATGATTTGGGGTCATGTGAAAACCTCACTGTCCTGGAGTGAAAATAATTTGAGTTTTGTGCGTCAAGATTTCATTCCACTTCTTTGAGTATTTGGATAAATGCCCATGAATTAAGTAAGAACCAATGAGAGACTTACAGTCATGATTTCTTTATTTAATTTTTCAGCTGCTTCTCTTTGCAAACAACAACAAACCAACCCCAAGCCCACAGATGGCGTTAGTCATCCTAATAATACACATCAGTTAAAACTGTGAGTCGGGATCCAGCCTCATTTGCTTTGAGCAACAGGTATATTCCTGACGAGTTGCAGATACATTGACATTTTCTAAATCAAATTAATTTTTAAATGCACTGGAGTAGCTTGCAATTTAAAGGTAATTGATGTTAAACCCCTGAAATAAAGAGTTATTTATAAAGAAAACAATCGTTCCCATTTTCTCACTTCGTAGATGCTGACTTTGTAGTCTTGGGGCATTGTATTAAGAATGAGAAGACTTTCAGTTTCAGGCTCACATTTTCTGCTAGCTAGATGGTTGACTTTAAAAGTATGTCAATTGAATCTCTCAGTGCCCCCAAACATCTCAGCTAAAAACTTGGCACTTGCTCAATCAACAAACATTTATTTAGGATCTTCTATGGGATACATAGGTGAGATCAAAGTCCTAGCCCTCAAAGGGCTCACAGATGAATTAGGAAACTAATAAGTGATTCAGGGAAACCCAGGATAGTCGTTTCTCCGGGCGCCCTTGGTGTGTCATGTTGCCCCACTCTGCCTACCACGGAAGGAGGTTGTCAGGAAAACTCGGAAGGAGCGGGCTCTATCAGTGAAAAAACCATGGTCCAGAGAGGTTAATCAATTTTCCTAAATCCTCTTAAAGTTCTGATTTCCAGGCTGATGGTCTTTTTCTTCAAATAGGAGACCGTAATTTAAAATGTAAAGCTTTTTAATTATTACATTGAGGGTATATTTGTGGTTAATAAAAACATCAATATAATAACTGAGATTTTGTGCCAGGCATTTTATGTAAGAGGTTACATGTGTTTATTCATTAAATTCTCTTAATGGCCCTACGAAGTAGATATTTGGAAGATGCTAAGGCACAGAGTTCAAATAACTCATCCAACGTTACACAGCTAATGATGGAACTGGGAGAGCATCGAGGCAGGTACTTTACATATGTTGTCTTTAATCCTTAAAACAACTTAGAGGCGGGTTTGATTAGCTCACTTTATAGATCAGGAAATGGAGGTGCAGAAAATGTAAGTAACTACCCCAGAACCACACATAGAAAGTGGAGGACCTGGTATTTGAACTTCTGCAGTCTGGCCTGTACCCTTATCTCTTGTTCACTTAATTTAAAGTGGGTGGACCTGTACTGCAATACCAAGTAGGACCACTGACCTTTATTCGAGTCTTGTGCTGTCTTAGCTAGGGTGATTCTGTGTGCCTCTCTTTCCCAAGTACAACCAAGGGGTATTATTTGTTGTCTCCAGTGTTTATGCGTATGCCTATTTTTTCCACTAGACTTATGACTTTCAGGGACTGGGATGATATTATAACTTATTTTTGTATTTCTGGCACCTTGCACAGTACCCATGCCTAATAAGGGCTCAATATTCAAAACAGAACTGGGTGAATAATTTCCCACCGTGAGAACTTCAGGAGAACTTGCAAAAAATGTCCACAAATTATATTTGGTCTAGAGATTATCATGTGAAGTCATTCTCTTGTTAGAGTTTGATCCTTTTCTGCATCTTTAGAAGCTGATACAGGTATTGGCATGTGGTAAGTGCTCAAACAAAATCTGTGAAGGGATGAGTGGCTTAGTAAGGGCGGGCAAAATGAAAGGATCATCACAGCTTCTGAGAAACTGTCCGTGAAAGAGCTGATGGAGGTCTATGGAAGAGGGAGTCTAGTGCTTCGTCCCCAGGCCAGCGACATTTGTGGCAGCTGAGGGAAGGGAAGCGCCCTACTTGAGGTCAAGGCAAGTGATGTCCTGTATCTACAACTCCTCGTTTGACCCTCAGGGGCGCTTATGTCTGGCAAAAGCATTTCTTGGTTTTAAAAGGTAATTCACCCCTTTACAACCTGTGTAATTGCTATTGGAATGCTTTGCCCCGCTAGTGTCTTAATTAGGTCAAATTTTATACCAAGGGCTTTAAGTTAATGCTGTATTTGCAATTCTAAGGCCCCCTTCTCTCGGCACTGCCAGGAAGCACTCACATTTTTTTAGACATGGAGACACCGTGATAAGCCCATTTGGGCACTCTTCTAAGGGGGTAGGATGGGAATAGGGGTCCAGGGGAACTAGGCCAAAGGAGATGGGTGTGCCAGGAGAATCATCTAAATGCTTCTAAAAAGAAAATTCAGTCTCAAAGTTATCCTGCTCCAAGTATTGCTTGGATAATTGCAGGATGCAAGGCTCTTTGCATTTGGTTAAATTATATAGTTCTGCTCTCTCTGTGTTAAAAAAACCCCACTTTTTATTATCTGCCTTTTATCAAGCAGACCATACCCCTAGAGTTACACCCTTCCTGTCTCCAGCATGCCACCCCAATAATGAGATAACCATCCACTAAGAAAACAAACATAATATAAAAATTATACAAATACATAATCCCCAACCCAGAAGGAAGGGAGCAACTGCCACCTGGTACCAAACAGCAAACAGTATAATATTTATCCAGAGCAGAGGGTTCCCCCAACAGGCTGTAATTCCTCTATTGGGTGGGGCAGGGGGTGAGGGGTCAAGGGGAGGTCAGTGATGAAAATCACCTCCATAGGCCTGGTCTAAATAGGTAGCAGGTGGAAATCAATTCAGTGAACTCAATGTTTCTGTTTCCTGTCTCAGGACACACTCAGGAGGCACCTGAGGAGTCCATCAATCTGTCACTGGAAAGGGGAGAGGTGGCGGGAGAAAGGAGGTAATTGGATTGTGCTTCAGTGGGACTTTTTCTCTAGCTGGAAGCGTAGCTGGAGAAATACGAAGCAGAGCCATCCCTGAGGTCAAGTAAATTGGGACTTTTGGTCCTGGAGCTGGAAAGCAGCGCCCTTGAGGTTTGAAAATCTGCTCTGGCTGTAACATTTCAGACAAGGCTGTTTTCTAACTTTTGGGCTGGTCTCGGATTAGGATAAAATTTTACTCCCCTTGCCTAAGAACTGCACTTTCCATGGCCTCAGTCAACTCAGGGCTTGCACTGATTCATACATAACTAGTATTTAATTTCTTAATCAAATGCTCTCTGAGCAAGTAGAAATTCAGTTGTTAGAAACTGTGCAATGCACGGAAGCTAGTCAATCTTCTGTTTTATTGATAAATTGGAACTTTAAAGCAACGTTGCTAGTCAACATGACAGTTCTTCCTAAGAAAGAGGCAGTTTACAGAGCTGTGTAAAACGGAAGTGTCCTTAAACTGTGGTTGGGGAGATGTGATATGGCAAAATGTCTACCAATAAAGTGGAGCATTATAGCAAATTACCCAGTTTATACATGCAGGCAAAGCTTCCTTTCTTACGCCATGTTGGAGAGCCAATAAAACTTGCAAATGTGATGGGAGCCACTATTTCTGCCTCTGTGCAGCTGTTTATCAGCAGCTTTTTAACACATTTTCACATATTAATGAGGTGGCATAGCAGTTCCAGAATTAGAACAGTGGGATGTATCATTGTCTGCTTATCTGAAGATATGCCTGCTGTCAGCTCAGCATCATTACCAGGGTATGTACAATGAAAGATGTACTTTTTGGTGGGGGCAGCATGTACATGCTACCCCACCTTCCTTATGCCCCAAACCCCCTCGCCTTCCAACCATCATACCTGGATGGGCTCCGGCACTGCTTTTGTAGGTCTTCCTGCAACTTTGTCTCCTTGTTTCATGATTTGTGTGTCAGTAGGACTTGAAATTCCTTTTTGCTTCTCCATTTCCCAATATAGTCCTTGATAGTCAGTAGGTACTTATTAAATGTTGAATGAATGAATGAATGAGTAGATAGGTGGATGGATAAAAGTGTTCCCTCAAAAACTGTCCTCTGCAGGCACAATCTGCAGTCACTGTGGCTTAAAGGAACAAGATAGATATGTGGCATGGCTTTCCTTGAATTTGCATGAAAAGGTAAAATGGCAAATAGAATCTTATAGAATAAGGGCTGTAAGAGACCTCAGGAAGCACTCACCCTGGTGGTTTCCAAATGCAGGTGTGCAGTTGGTGCCAGAACACTGCAAAATTTTCACCCACCTGCAATGAGATGAAAAAATAAAAACAATAGAGTGAGCTTTTCATAGAGCCAAGTGTATTATCTATTAGAATTCTAAGATTAGGTCCTTTTACTATATTTGGTGTTAAAGTTTCTTCTCTAAAAAAAAAAGAGAGGTAATAGTAGATAATAGCTGCTACTTTTTTTTCTCTCTTAAGTCCCTTTATTTGGTAAAACAACAAATTCCTAATTTTTTTGCAGATTCCTGAATCACCCACATTTTTTTGAGAGGGAGAGGAGAGGATGTTTCATGAGTCCATAAAATCCCAAAGTCTGGAACCACTGACAACTCATCTCTGTCTTATCTGAAAAAAACTCGCTGACATCTCCTGTTGGCCTTAAGTGAGACACCGGGCTCCTTAAAAGAAATAGCACATTTCAGTAAATGGTAAGATGCTTCAAGTCGTACAAGTTCCTCTCTGTGTTGTCTCTTCAGAGCAGGGATCCAGGCTGGGTCACAGGCTTGTAGCAATGCCATAACTAAGACATAGGAGATTTCTTAAATCGAGGTCAGTCAATAACAGGGGCACAGAGGCCCAATTTACCAACTTCTAATGTGCTTTCTTTTGCCGTGGGTATAGTCGCTGTTTTGTCTTTAGGTAGAACATATATGTGCTCTGTGTAATACAGAGCACCTCTCTGAGAATGACAATTCTACTTGATATAAACCATGGGAAAAAGAGAACTCCACGGGGACACACCTCCTTAATCACCTCTCCTTTCTCTGAATTGCTGCAGCTCTGTTGTCTATTCCATATAACGTAGCTCTTGGATTTTACATTGTCTTCTGTTCTCTGTTTATTAGTCACAAATCTTATCTCTCCTAAAGAATGGGAACAATTCATTTAAATCCTGTTATTAACTGATAAACTTTTTCTTTTGTAACTCAATCTTCTCCGGAGGCCGTTGGCCCTTACTGGTCCTATGTATGTTGGAAAGATCTGCGGTTCTGCAGACCTGGTTTCCAGCCCTGACTCTGTGACTGATGGATGACAAGTCGATGAGTGAATGCTGAATCTCACGGCACCTGGATGACTGTTGTTCAGAGAGAAGAATGGTACTGACCTGCCTCACCAAGAGAAGTGGCAGATGCATTAACTGCCTAATGATGCTGATGTGCTTTGAGAATATAAACGTGAAACATGATCATTATGGTCAATAGTAGTCTTTGGATTAAAATTTTGTTTTCCTCAAAGAGGAGAGGAAGAAAGATTATTTAAAGAAATAGTGAATAGAGGGCCCCAGTTTGTTCTTCATTAGTGATTGACTTTGATCAGAATGGCATAAGCAGTGGGAATGTGGTCTTAAAATCCAGAAGGGAATTATCTCTACTTCAGGGCATGAAGTCTTCTCTTTCTCCTCCTCCCACTGGGGAAAAAAGTAAAGAGAGAAAAAGCTAGGGAAGCAAATGCTCTTAAAAAATAAGATGATTTCTCTATGTCAGGTCTGAAAATAGTATTTCCTAAAGCTACTGCTATGTCAGAGACCAAGCCAAGTGGAAGAGAACTGGCCCAGGGCTGGCCTCAGCCTCCAACATCTTGCTATGGAAGAAGCCAGAAGCAGGCGGGGCTGTGATGAATTTTTATTAAAGCCCCTGTTTATTAAAAGTTGAGTGAAAGTCTTCCTAAGATCCAACAGGCCTTTTCCAGAAAAGCGCTTTTCTACTTGTGATGGACATAATTGGTTTCCCAGCTATAAAAGCTTCCTATGGCTGCTGTAGCAAATTGCCACACTTACTGACTTCACGCAACATGCATTTATTACCTTACAGTTCTGGAGGCCAGAAGTCTGAAACGAGTCTTGCAGGGGTAAGATCCAGGTGTCTGCAGTGCTGGTTCCCACTGGAGGCTCCCGGGGAGAATCCGTTCCCTGCTTCCTCCACCTTCTGGTGGCTCGTGGCCACACCACTCCAATCTCCACTTCCTTCATCACATGGCCTTATTCTCTTCTCTTTCACATTTCCCTCTGTTTCCCTCTTTTAAGAAGGCTTTTGATTACATTGGCTGTGCCTGGAAAATCCAGGTTTATCTCTCCATCTCAAGATCCTTGATTCAGTCACATCTGTAAAGTCCTTTTGCTACATAAAGCAACATTTGTAGGCCCCAGGGATGAGGAACTGGATGTCTCCCAGGCTGTTAATCATTATGTCACAAACAGGCAATAGCTCTTCTTCCCTTCTTCCTTCCTAACAGAACCCTGATTTGGTTCAGGCATCCTAAGACACTGGTTTCAGGGGACAGTGGTCCTTGCCAGCCCTCGTATAAATCTTGATTAAGCCAAGGTTGTCACATCTCTCCCATTCCCTTGCCAGGCACTGGTTAGGAATGGGCATGGGATTCATCTCTGCCAATGGTACGGAAGGAGAAATCTGCTCTGTGATTTCTGGAGAGCTCCCCTCACTCTTAAAGTGGTGCTGGGAAAGGAATGCTCTCTCTTAAATAGTCTCTGGATGATGGGGATTGCTAGTTGAGAAGGTAATGCTTGAAGCCACCATAGCTATCTTGTGACCATAAGGGGACAGGTCTCAGGACAAAACAAAAAATGCTGAGAATGTCTGAACAGAAAGATAGAAAAAACTGGGTCCACAGTGTTATCAGTGAGCTGCTAAATTAGCTGTCTCTGGAACATTTCTCTGTATGCTTATTGGTGTACACAAAGAACCACTTTAATGTTCTAGTCCCTTTGAGTTGGGTTTGCTGTGACTTGAAGCTACTAGACATGACCAGAGACCCACTATTTATTTATGCTTCCAATAACTTAAGTGTGTATATAAACATATGCAAGCCCCGGATCTGCCCTAGCTCTGGACCTCATCCTTGACTGTCTTGAATCATTATAAGAACCTCTTTGGTGGTCTTTGATGATGTCTCTGACTCTGGACATGTACCTTCTTGATCTAGACATTACAAAATAGTGTACTTCTGTGTGTACTTCTATGCTTAGTCACCATACATATTTATTGAGCACTTACTATGTGCCAGCCACCTTGCTAGTCACAGAGATACATCTATGAATACAACAGTCTTTGCTGTCATAGAGCTTATATTCTAGTGGAAGGAGATATATGAAAAGCAAAGTATAATACATCAGGTGGCAATAAATGTTACAAAGAAAAATAAAGCAAGGTAAGGGGAAGAGAGTGATTGCTGTAGGAGTTTGTTTTTCACATGTGAAGGTCAGGGAATGGTCTCTTTGACAAGGAGGTGATTGAGTAGAGCCCCGGCTGGAGTGTCAGAGTGAGGTGTGCAGGTACCTGAGAGCAACCAGCCAGGCCAAGGGAGCAGCACGTGTAAAGGCCCTGAGGCAGAGTATGCTTGGTGAATGAGTAAGAGCAAGGAGGCCAGCATGTGGGGGTGAGGCAGGAGGGAGGGAGTAGTAGGAGAAGAGCTCAGAGAGGATGGTAGGGACAGGTCTTGTTGGACACAGAGGCCAAGGTAAGGACTTTGGCCATTACTCTGAGTTAGGGGAAGCCACTGAAGGGTTTTGAGCAAAGAAGTGACTGTGACATGATTTAACTTACATTTTTCAAGTATCACTCTGGCTTCTGAGTAGAGGTTAGACTCTGGGTGGTAGACACGAAGCTCTTGTAATAACTCAGGCTGGGCGGGGTAACTCAGACCTGTAATCCCAGCACTTTGGGAGGCTGAGGTGGGTGAATCACGAGGTCAGGAGTTCGAGACCAGCCTGGCCAACATGTATTTGTAATTTATATGTATTTGTAATTTACATGTATTTGTAAAAATACAAAAAATTAGCTGGGCATGGTTGTGGGCACCTGTAATCCCAGCTACTTGGGAGGCTGAGGCAGAAGAATCACTTGAACTCAGGAGGTGGAGGTTGCAGTCAGCCAAGATTATACCACTGCACTCCAGCCTGGCGACAGAGGGAGACTCCATCTGAAAAACAAACGAACAAATAAACAAAATCAGCCGGTAGATAATGGTGATTGGATCAAGGTGGTAACCATGGGGATGGTTGTAGAAAGTGGTTGAATTCTGCATATATTTTCAGGGTAAAACTATTAGAATTTGCTGATAAATTGGCTATGGAATCTGAGAGAAAGAAAAGAATATAACCTGACTCCTAGGTTTCTGGCTCAAGCAGCAGAAAGATGGGGAAGACTTCAGGAAGAGTAGATTTGGAGCGACAAGCAAGAGTTTGGTTTGGACACATTAAGTTTGATATGTTTGTGTCCACGACAAGTAGAGGCATGCCAAGCCCATGAGCTGGATTTACTAGTCCAGAGTTCAAAGGAGAGGTAGGGAAAAGTTTTCAGGAAATAAATACTCCAAACCTACGGTATCTGCTTACTTGTTAAAGTACAAAAGCTGAGTCGTGTAACATGGAGGCTTTCCTATACCCAGTGTGTCAACCACTGATATCCATCCAAGTCAAAACTGCACGCCCTTTCATGCTTCAAAGTCTCTACTCACGTTTTCCCTTGACCTGGACTGACCTGGACTGCACTTCCCTTCCTTGCCATCAGAATCCAGTTCATTCTTCAAGGCCTGTAAAACCTCTTCTAATGTTTTCGTTGAAATCCATCATGACTTCTTTTGTGTTCCCAGGGCATGGACTACCTTTTTTCTGACTACTTGTCAGAATCTATGTCTCCACTAAATTGTATGCTCGTCAAAGGAAGGGAAGGACCATGGTTCGTTGATCTTTGTATCTTTAACACGGAGATACACATGGGTGAGATCCTGAAAACCAGACTCCTCAGTCAGTCCCAGTTCACCACTACTGGTTTTGAGGTGAAAATGCATGAAGATGAGGTCAGACAATTGCAAGCTATTTATTACTACAGAATATTGGCTAAAAGCCCCACGTAGAACTCATAGCCTGGGCGAGCTGGCTTCACCATGTGTGAGTCACAGCATCCTCTTTGCATCCTGAGGAGTTCAAGAACTGGGCTAAAAACTGGCTTCCTTTGTCTTTTTTTCTGAGGCCTGTCCCCAGGTCTTGATCACTCTGGTGGTAGGAATGATGAGGACAACTGAATCTAACAGGGAGTTAGTCTAGGGAAGTGTAGACTAGAGCACAATTGGCCTAAGTTATACCCCTGAGGCGTGGGGATGTAGGGGTTGGCAGGGAGCTGAAGGCTTAATTTACCACACTAACCAAATATGAGGACATGATTTGGAAATGAAGGCAGCGACTAAACAAGGCAGGCAGAGAGCAGATCAAGGATGCAACAGGATTTAACTTCTTTCTCATTGCACAGAACATCCCACCCGGCATTATGACCAGTGGTGTCCCAAGCACCTTCTCCTTGGGGGTGAGCTGCAATGAGGAGAGCCCTGACTCCTGCCACCAGATGGAGCTGGCCCTGCATCTAGTCCTGATTTTCACCTAGCACGTGCTGAATAAAGCTTCATTTAATTTACTGAATTGGATAAATACTCAGGAACATGCATATATCCCAATGGAGAGATTGAGGGGTTACTCTGTGAGTGAGAGCATGTGAGGTACACACTACGAGGATTTCCCTGGGATCTTAACACAAGACATGGTATAGTATATGCTTAAGAGTGAGAGTTCCAGAGCTGTGTGATCTTGGATAACTTCTAGCTCTTTTATGAATTAGGATAGTTATAGAGTGGCAAAGAGAAGCTATTATGTCAGTGGTCATGCCTAGGTCTTTGTGTCCAAGAAGGTTTGAAATTCCTTGGAAAGAAATACATAGACTTTATCACATTCTCTGCTTCTTTCACCTGAATATTTCTTCCCGCCTCCCAGCCCATATCCTGGCTGCACCAGTGGCCCTTCTTATCCAGAGGGGAAATCTTAGTGGAGCTGGTTATGGTCTTGTTATTCAGGCAGCTGCTTTTTGGCATGATCCCAAGTGAAATGTTTGAGCTGGCTGTTCCCTCAGGCTTGGAAGTCACCTGGCTAGTGTGAACTTTGATGGTCCTGGGATGCTCAGCTGGAATTTCTGGCTTGTGTTGCACCAAGCAGGTGGTTTGGGACCAAAGGGCACAGCAGTTGGCAACAATGGTTGTTGGAAGGTTACCAAGGCCTGGGAACATTCTCATCAGTTATGTGCATAAGCGTGAGTGTGTGTGTGTGTGTGTGTGCGCGCGTGGTCTCTCCAGATGGGTAAAAAGGTCTTACTAGGAATCTTTGAAGTAGCATTTTCTTCCAAACCTGCCTGATGTTCATTTTTTCAGGATTTCAGATTTCTGTTGGCAGTTTGAGGGTCTTTTGCAGTGCAGCCTTCTGCTCTATTCACAATCCTATTTTGCCTGACCAATTAGAACTCTGACTTGGGAGTTCTACGTGCCTTTGATGGTGTTCTTTTAACTCTTTTATTTTTATTTACCTTTTCAACTGAATTTCACCCCCATTTCCATGGGGGTCATCCCTGAGAAGTGAAATCTCTTCGTCCTAAAAAGCATATGGCAGAGGCCAAGGGACTCTTGGGAAAATAAAGATTTTTGTTTTGATCCCTGATTGATTTAACTCCCTCTTCCCCCATATTCCTGTGTCAAC